TCCTCTTAGGGGTTGGGCCTTCTTTCATTAGGGTTTCGTTCTGGGTTTACTCTTTTTAGGGTTTCGTTCTGGGTTTACTCCTCTTAGGGGTTGGGCCGATTACTCCTCTTAGGGGTTAGGCCTTCTTTCATTAAGGTTTCGTTCTGGGTTTACCCCTCTAAGGGGTAGGGCCTTGTTTCATCAGGGTTTCGTTCGTTGTCAGAGTCAGGTCCTACCAAGGCACCTCTCGTTCGAGACTGTTGCTCCCGAAGCAAATAAATGACACAAGTGACCCCAAAAACAAAGACACAAGTGAACCCAAAAAGAAAGACACAAGTGACCCCCCTTCCCTTGTATAGGACTCGCTGGCGGTCAAGGTCTCTCACTTTCCCCTGACTCTCCTCGAGCTGCTTTTCCAGCTCCTCAATCTTAGGGGCCTGCTTCTCACCAGTCACCCTCATCTTCTCCCTGAGCGAGCGATCGGCCTTCTTCTCCACCTCCCAGTGTGCCTCCTTAGCCGCGAGCTTTTTCTTGGTCACCCTGACCTCCTCCTCGCTGTCCTGCAGGTGCCTCTCCACCCTCGTCAACGCTTCGTTCACCTCGCCGTAGGCCTTGTCACGCTCACACTCCCTGATGGCCATCCGCTTGGCGTGCTCCTTCTTCAGGTCCTCGATCCTGTGACTTGTACAAAAAGTCGTAACTTTAACAGTAGTACCTTACCTTTAATATTCAATGTATTTATTAACAATAATTATTATTAATAACAATAATAACAACAACAAAAAGAATGCCATCAACTCAATCCTAATGTCACTCGCACACCTTTTTGTCAGGTTGGCCATGTCACCCTCCAACTTCGTCTTCTCGGCCGCTCATTTGGCCTTGTCACTCTCGTGACGATCCTGGCGGGAGAAACACTCAAGTAAGGTCTACATTCCTATTGTCAAATACGATAATATTTCACTTTATTTAATTCACCTGACTCCAGCCTCCGCTCGCTTGATCTCACCCCCAAGCCCGTCGATCATCTTCTGGGAGCTCGCGTACATGGAGCCCCGAAAGGCTTGCATGGTGCCCCTGCTTCATGGATCGATTTCGTGACTGCTACGCTGCTTCACGTAGTAAGACAAGTTCAACCCCGAACAAGATATTATGTCAGCTCAGTCCTTCCACGACCACTGGCATCACTCTCACCCTCGGAAGGCTTGCCCTTGTTCTTGCCGCTGCCCTTCGTCACATTGAAAACCTTGCCAGTCGGGCCTTTCACCGTCATGGCTTTTGGCATGCTGGCTTTCGAAGTGGAGCCATCGGCCATGGCTGACATCTCACTCTGGGATGACATGAAGGCACCTAGTAGTCTGTGGCATCTGATTGCTGATGAAACATCCGTGTCACGCTTAAGAGGACTACGTCTACGCGCCTCGTGTGATGAGAAGCTAAGCCGCTGAAAACTGCAGCGCAGTGGCATGCAGGGAGGCGGCTTCAACTCCAAGGCAGCAGGTCAGCACTGCAGAATGACTAGCTCGATGCTGCCAGGCTGCCACCAGTCACGGTCACGCTGCTGGCAGCGGCGATGGTCGGGCCTTAGGACAGGGATGATATTTTACCACATAATAAGGGCCAGAGGTAGTCGAATTTCTAATATAGAAATTGGACTACCTCTGGCCCTGGCTCACACTGGCATCACTGGCTGCTGCAATCAATCAGAACTGACAGGCTTCACTCGGCTTCAGCGCACATGCAGAGCACGCCTTCCTGAATGCCCTCGCTCTTCACCCGTCACGCTGCCCCCCACGCCCCGCCGCGGTGAAAGGTTCGCGGCGCTATCTTCACTCGTCACTTTCCCCTCAAAACCCTCCTGCAGCGAATGATTCGTGCCGCTCTTTTCACCGACTCACTCTTGCCTCGATACCTGCTGCCGCCCTCTTCAATGGACTCTGCCCCCGAACCCCCCCTGCAGCGAATGGTTCGTGCCGCTTTCCACTTTCCCTCCATACCTGCCGCCACTCTCTTCACTCACTCTCACCCGAACCCCCTGCGAATGGTTCATGCCACTCCCCCCCGAACCGTCCCTGCTGCCGCTCTCTTCAACTCACTCTGCCCCCAAACCCCGCGGCGGCGAATGGTTGGTGCCGCTCTCGTCACTCACTCTCCCCTCCCCTCCTGCTCTCTTCACTTCCCCTCGAACCCTCCTGCTCTCTTCACCGACTCTGCCCCCGAACCCCTTGTGGCGAATGGTTCATGCCGCTCCCTCCTGCTGTCGCTCTCCTCGCTCACTCTCCCCCTGTCCCCCCCTGCGGCGAATGGTTCCTGCCGCTCTCTTCACCCTCACACTGCCCCCCGAACCTCCCCGACGAATCCCCCCTTGAGTGGCACTCTAGGCGCCCGGCCATGGCATGTAGATGAACGCCACGTTGTGCTCACTCTGAAGCTGGGAATAGCAGAGGGTAATTTTAAATTAAGGTCTCGGGTATATTTGCTATTGTCTGGGCCCAGTATTAAGTTATTAAGTTAAGGGTTCTTAAGGATGTCACAGTCACGATGGTCACTTAGGGATCATGTCAGGGTTCTGATGTAGTATAAGTAGGATGTCACGGTCATGATGGTAGTCGATGGTAGTCACTTGGGGTTCGTTCATATAAATGTTCTGGGTTCTTGTTATTCTTGGTGGCCACACTTAGGGTTTTCAGGATGACCCTTAGTAAGTTTGAGCACAACGCCTTATCGGGAGGCATCAAACCCCAGCACCCCGAAAAAATAAAAAGTTTCCGAAAACGCCACCCAGACAATCAGACTGTCAAGCGACCCTTTGCACGGATGCACAGGACTTGAACAAGCCAACAAGAGCGCGACTGAGTTTGCTGTGTCAACTACTGGATTGTGATCCGGGGGAGCGAGAAGGGATCTTGTGGAATGCAACTCATCTACTATCTCTTTCTGAGAACTCAGCTCATTCCACGAAGCACTTGATCAAGCATCTGGAAACCGGCAATGGATCAGATTCGCTTCTTTTTGCCTAATCTAAGGGTGATGTTCATGCAGGTCTGCATCTTATGCAATAATGACAATCTTAACAGTCATCATCCTAAGCCACAAGTAAACTGGAAAGAGTAGGGGATTGCTTCTGAGCATGGAAGTCATAACCTTCGGGAAACCGAAAGTACTGGAAATCTCAATGATGATGAAGACTACGACGATCGACGGCTGTTTCCATTGCTGTGGCGAACACTGCACATGCTTGCACCCGCTTTATCAGGAACCACAGCCATTCTCCTGGACGACCACTAGGACCTGGCCCGCCCTGCGCACCTGAGTGCCATCATGTGCAATCGGTGCTGCTCCATCGCAGCTGCGTGCTCCCTACTCCGACATCAGGTAGACGAAAACGACTGCGAAAACGAGCGCTCACATTTCTGTTGTTGCTGCTACAGCTGCTGCTGTCTCACGCCTGCTCCGACAACTCATCCCTCTTACTTCTCCTTCCGCTCCTGCTGCCGCTGCCGCTGCCGCTGCTGCTGCTGCTGCTGCTGCTGCTGCTGCTGCTGCTGCAACGGCCCCCGCTACCATCATCACTAGCACAGCGAAAATTACCACGACGATGCGACTACTTCTTCTATCAGAACGACGGATGCGAATAATCGTTGCTACTGCATCGGGTATTGATAATGCTGCCACAGCAGTTCCGACGGTTTTGTAGTAAAGACGCGGTGGCAAGGTGTAACACTGTTGCGATCGCAGTGCAGTGGACAGAGTGCAGTGCCGCAGTCGTCACTCGCTCATTGCGAATGGGCTACCGCAACATCCTCCTCGACAACATCGTTTTGATGTCGACTAGTATCGATGACGATTCGCTCGGTATACCTACATTATCGCTGCCACGGTACTCTCCATATCATGAGCTTCAGCCCAGCTCCAGCGCAGAAGCCTGCACTCTCACTGAGCCGTCGACCTATTGTTGCCTCCCAGGACTTGCGCAGAACCGGTGCAATACAACATGGTCTGAATGTTTACCATGCATTTTCTGCCTACTCTTCAGCCTCCACTCGCAACTCTGTCCCAGGCTTCGACGTCGACAAGTATCGTTAATTTGGGTGCACGTCTGCATATTTGCCCTCATGTCATGAACATGTAACTGTCATCAACAAACCATCATGTACATGCAACTGTCAGCGAGCAAAGCCTACCGTAGATGACGAAGGCTTGGAGGAAGGCTTGACATGTGCGGATGATAAGAACCATGTAAACGCAAACATGGCCTGGCAGGTCGAGATGCACACTCGCCCTCGTTTCTGCAAACTGACGGTGGAAAGATTTCACGAAAGACTTCGTTTCGGCACACTGACGGTCAAGGGAATTCATGAGAGACCTCGCTGCTGCAAACCCCCGGACGAGACTCTCTGCGAACGACGTCATTGCTGCACACTGAAGGTCGAAAGAGTGAGAGACGCCGCCGCTGTAAAGTGTACGTCGAGGGACGCCGCTGCTGCAAACTGTAGCTTGACATTGCGTGAAAGACTTCGCTGCAACTTGAAGGTAGAAACAACCGATTGGGGCCGGAATCCTTCCGAACATGTGTGCCAACAGGCATCCTTCAATGTTGAAATGGTTGCTGTGCCAAATTCAACCAAGCTGCATCAATGTACAACAACAACAACAACAACACCAACAACAACACCTGCTGCTGCTGCTGCTGCTGCTGCTGCTGCAACCGCAACCAACAACGGCATGACTGGTGCACGGTTTATCGCATACACTGCAGCAAGCACAGAAACAAAGTGGCTACCCAGGCGCATCGCCCAATAGCGAAAACAGGCGGGCTGGTACATATGTGCGGCACAGACTCCCGGGTGAGGCTACCTCTGAAGTCCGAGAGAAAGTGTATGGTCGTCGTCGTAGTGATAGTGCAGCACTGCAAAAATATCTGCAAAATCCGCACTTTCGCCAAGGAAGATGTGCAACGTTGCGTCCGCAGCAGATTCCATGAATGTTCCCAAGACTCTAGCCACAGCTGTTACAACATGTTACAACTCGGTCTGAGGCCCCTCGGCCTCGGAGGACCTCCACTTGGACGACGCCGGCCCCGCCGGCCGCTCCGAAGGCCGCTCCGAAGGCTGTGCCCAGTGGCGCCTCGCTCGGAGCTCCTTCTCCAAACGCAGCTGCTCCTCGTCTTGGGCAGAAGCAGACTGAGCAGACTGAGCAGACTTTGGCCTTTGACCACCGCAAGTCCTCCCGAATCCGATAGTTCTCGTCCTGATATCGGAACCCGCATTCTGAACTCAAAATGGCCAGAACCAACCTCCAAGGACTCCTTCAACATCCTCAACTCCAGCGCCAGATGGTCGGCCTTCCGCGAAGCCTGACCATCAACACCGAACCTTCTCCCTGACACGCCACAACTAGACTTGTCAATGGCACACTGACTGCTGCACAATCGACAAGTCTACGAAAGTGCTCACCCCTGCGGCCTGATCACCATCTCCGCTCCTCAGCGCAAGCGCACACCCAGCGCAGCGATTGCATGCGTTGTCTACTGTTGCCTGATAGCTGAGGAGTCTGGCCAGCGACGATCTCCACCCACCTGGTGCTGAGCTCCCTCGAACAACACAACCGACCGCTCGCTCTGTCTCTCACTCTCTCTCTGCTTTGCTTGGGGCTTGGGGCCGGAGCAGACCTCCCGTCCCGCGCGGGTGCGCTGCCCCATCCATTCTTCGGAATGTACCCCTTTTTCCGGGGTGGTGCCGAGGCCCTCCGACCTTTGTGCAAACAACAGCAGGAACCTCAGGAGTAGAGTACGCTAGCAACAAAGTCTTGTCGGGTGCCTCTCTGCGGGTGCCCTGCCTTGACCTGTGTCCGCCACCTTTCCTTGCCTTATCGCTCCCGGGCATAGGACCGTTCAAGGCCCTCGGTGAAGTATACGATAACAGGCAAAAGAAGTACGTACACTCTCCGGAAGATGACCTCAACCTAAACAGTCTTGACGAAAGGTGAGTAATCACTACAGGAGCATCAATTCGTAGAGAAAAGCTTCGTCATGGAATGCTCATCCCAGGCTCTCTCTCTCTCTCTCTCTCTCTCTCTCTCTCTCTCTCTCTCTCTCTCTCTCTCTCTCTCTCTCTCTCTCTCTCTCTCTCTCTGTCTCGCAGAGCTTCGAAGCTCAGGCGGTCGGGCCAACGGGAGTGGACACATCCCGAGGGTTGCACACCCAGTGTGTTGTTTGGCTCTGACGCAGTCTCCGCTGGCATGTAGGCACGGCCCGTTTTCCGATCCTTCTGGGAGAATGGCTTGGCATGATGTGCTGCTTCATGCGTTCAGAGGGAAAGCATCCTGCTACAACCAGCGCCCAAAGCGACCCCAGCCACCAGGGAGCTGTCGGCCATGGTGCGTTTTGTTGGACTGGCGATAGCCTTCCCTTTTGACATCCAATCTTTCTGGCTGTGCAGTCTCAGGCTCAGATCCTGCTGGCTGCCTGCAGGTGCGGTATGGTGCTGTTCCGAAGTCCTGCCTTGTCGAGGTCGCACAGGACACCGGGCCTTGACCCGACAAAGGAAGAAGACAAACCTTTCACGCCTGAGGCTCGTCTCAGCTTCGCACCCACAAATTTGGCCCATGATCACCTCGGAAAGCTTCACATGAGCTCGTTGCCTTGACTCAATGATCACCAGGCAGCTAATGTGCCGACCGTCGAAGCGGAGTGTTCAATAGGCCATGCGTGAAGTCTATCTTTGCGCTCACAGATGACAAAAATTTGGCAAAGACTGGCATGGTGCCGATGATGCGGTTCTTTGCGTGATCGCGACATTGCTCAAGCCATATGAGCTGCCTCGGCACAACCATGCATGACAGCACCCAGATCGAGAGCAGCTTGTAAACGTCGCAGGACTGCTTTTGGCTTATTTTCATTTAGTCTGGCGTGCGCGGCGAGTCAGTCCGTCTTCGCTTCGGCGACGGCTCGTCCTCGCAACTAAGCAGGACACGACAAATGCCCTGTATCCTGTTTGGCGATGGATTTAGGAACTGGAGTTGGCTGGCCGCTTCGGCCTACGCGTGCCACCATTGCACAACGGCCCGATTCGAATCAATTCTTCCTGGTAGGCTTGCGTCGCCGGCAACGAGTCACCGCCCTGGCACGGCAGACGCACGGAATTCACTATACAGGAGTGGATGCAAGCTAAGCACAACCGACAGCACAGCGGCGATCACTTTTTAAATGCAGCAGATCGGAAAATCATTGAAACTGCCGGTCCGGAATGGCCTGGGATGAGTACGGCCTCAGCAAGTTCACAGCCGTCACAGCGGGAGGGGCGGAAAAGTGACTGGGCCCTCTTCTCGGGCTCGCACTGCGTCGCTCCCAGGTCCATCGCCTTTTGTAGAGGAACTCTGCAAAGCGAAATCCCATCCCATTATCCCGTGCCTCTGCCCTTAGCGGTCGCTCTGATGGCGGGGTTGCTGGCCTGAGAAGCCGGGCCAAGGGCTCTGGGGCGGGGCGCTGCTGAGCCGAAGGCGCCGACGCCGACGCCTCGCCTCCAGCCTCGACATGACGGCAGCTCACGGCCCGGCACACCTCCGCATCCTCTCCCGGGTCCCAGCGCCTCTGTCTCTGGGCGCGCGGAAGAACCGGTGCCGGACCTGTGCCTGGGCGCGGGCGCACGGAACATCGGGTGCATACATCCAGCTCTCGCGCAGCCCCTCGCGTTGCGTGGGGCCCCCCGCGGCTGTGGCCCGGCAGCCTCCGCCGTCTCCGGCTCCCTTCCCTCCGTCTCGGTCTCAGGTTTCCTGAGATCGTGTGATCCAGATCACCGAAACAAGCAGCGGAGGGGAGTGCTGGGCGGTGGCGGACTCGGCGGCATCTCACTGGGAGTGTCCTAAGAGTGACCCCTCTGCTCGAAGAACCGCCAACAGAAATCCGCGCCTCGCCGACAGGTGATCCGAAGATCGCCTCTTCCTCGTCGCTGTACACGGCAGAGTTGTACAGCGCCGACCCAAAGAGTTCCTCAGCGCAAGCGCTCTCACAAGGATTGCCGATTCGCAGGTCGTGGAGGGTTTAGGCCTCCTCATCAAGCGCATCGAACATCGCCTTCAAAGGTCCCAAGTCCAAAACCATCGACAGGTCAACGAAAGTCTGGGCTCACCACCGACACAGCTTCCACAGGTGCATCCCGCGCCTGTCACGGGTCTGGGGACCATCTGACGAGAGCCCAGTGCCCACTCTCTGCTCTGTTGCTCTTTGCTGGGGACAAGCAACTCGCAGTCCAAACGACGGAGCCGGAACTTCAAGCTTAGAAGCATCACTGCGAGCATGATGATCAGATGATCCATGCAAATCCAAATGGCACTCCATCCAATGCCTCCTTTGGGCTTTCGGGAACGGCAGTCGGAAGCTCAGGAGGCTTCGCCTGGAACTTTGGAGTTGGGACTCTTGCATGGCACGCACGGCACGCATGGCTTGTCGGCACAGGTGCATCGCGGCATCGCCTCGTCCCCGAGACCCATCTGGGCCATAGCGTGCATCGTCCGGTGTCGCCTGCCGAATCGCGCCGCCCACAAACGTCTTCGGCTTGAGGGGTGGAATTTTCAACAAGCGGCTGTTTCAAGCGTCTGCAGACAACAGCCCTCTCACAGCCTCGGCATTCCCCGAAAAACCCTCGCAGTGTCCGGCCGCTTCTGAAATTCCTCTTCCAATGCTCGTCGCTCGCGATCCTCCTCCTCCTTGTGCGGAACTCGGCGAAAGCTCTAGGGAGTCAATGCCTCACTAAAACCACGGATTATGAGGCTGGGGTCCTCTCGTGGAACATATCTAGTCGTCTGAATCATCTGACCCCAAACCTCGACGACTCGAAGTTTACGGTGCAGGTCCTGCCGCTCCATGTCCAAGGCCTTTCACGGGTCAGAAAGGATCAAGGCTCAGACTTTAGACAGCCTTAAGACCTTTCTGCTCCATGGGAATAGAGTCGCCTGCAGCTGGTCGTGGGAACAGATAGGCTCCGTGTTCTTCTGCTCCCCAGCGTCCCGAGCAGCGATCTTGTACCTGCTTCTCTCTCGCCCGTCCCAACCCGCTACCTGTATCATTTATATTCAGCTTTTTGGCATCATTCATTCTCATTGCGGCTTGTCCAGAGCTGGTGCTTCGTCGGTTCTTCAACTGTTGACTGTGCATGCATGTGTCTATGCTATTCCCAAACAATGGCACGGGGGTTCCTGCGTTGGGCGTGAAACGATTTACAAAAGATCCGTGTTGCCGTGCCACCAGGACAGCCAACTTCGTTGTAATTCCGGAGTGTGCACCACCGTTTGGCCTCGAAAACGTTCAATTGCCCTCGCAAAAGACAAGCTGCCGGCCCGAAGTATACACTAAGCGATCGACATGCTCAGTTTCTTGAACGCTTCATGGGGTACCGCAATTAGTGTTTGGTTTGCCCATGTCTTACTCTATACCAAACAGTCCGAAAGAACAAACAGCTGTAATGCCAAGAGCAACGAGGTTGGCAAGAACCACCAACATTCGGAGAACCCAAAACGACAACGACAACACACTGCTTAGGTCGTGCTGTGATGACGGATCCCGAGTTATTGATCGTTTCGGGCCTGGCAAACAGAAACACTCGACAAACTGATGCTCGGAGGAGGGCGGGCGAAGAGGAGGGAGTGATAAGCCCGTGGCTTCTTGCGTACTGCCTTGATAAGTTAAGCGTGTCGGGTTTTGGATACATCGACTTCTTGGGAAGCTAGGCTTGGGCTTGGCACCAGAACATTGGTTTAACTGATAATGTCATTTTGGCGCCTTGGCTCCCGGCCCACTTGGGGTGGGAGGGCGGAAGGGGGGGGATGTTTGGTTTGGAACACGCTTTTCTGCGTGGGATGTTGAGGCCTTTCAGTCGATCAATGTTGCTTCCAGATTCGTGCAAAAGCAGACTACATTAACGACGCGAGACGCTAGACGCGGCCCAAAGCTTGGATGCGCGGTCCTGAACAGTGCAGCAGAAACACGAAACAATCATCGTGATCACGATCCACGAAGCACTCTCCTTTCTTGCTGAGTCTTACAGAACCCAAGCAATCAGCTGCAAGAGCTGCGTCAGGCACCAGCCATCTCCGAAATCCTTGTCGGGCGGATCAGGCCTGCCGGGGCATGATTGCTTGTGCCCGTCTACGTACAGCAAACGTACAGACGCACGAGTGCCTGTGTGCATGCGCGCATGCATGCACGACAACGTTCGTGGGAAGTCTTGATCCTTCTGAGACTCCTGCACTCCGTCATGCCTTGCGTACACAATCAGAATGTACCTTCTCGCGAGGCATATTGATGCGTGTGACCTGTAAAAGGATTGGCTTGCAACTCCGCTGTCCAATCGTTTTCCGTGGCACTGTTCTGCAGTGATTACGGGGATTGAAGCCACCTCAGCTTGCTGGGGCTGCCGAGAGTATATTCCCTGGCAGGATCTGAAATCACATCGCTTGGCCGGCACGCTGGAAATGTCAACCGCATGCTGCCACCAAAAACAAATGAACCGAGGCGGCTCATGAAAATTAACTCCACAGGAGACCTCTCTCTCACAGGCGCAGATTCTGAAGGCGGCCAAAGCCAACACCTTCATCGGCCGCAGAGCAAACCTGGGAAGAAAAACCACAAGATGCCCTGAGCCGGGTGAGCCATGCTAAGCTACGAATTGCGGAGGGAGATCTTCCCCTGTCCTAAGAGCCTCAGGCCGCTGAACTGCGCCAATTGCTTGCAGACCTTGCTTCGCGGCCGCAGGAGTCCTTCATGCACTCTGTCGCAAGGCTTCGAAAGCCTCCTTCACCTCTGCGGAAAAGGGCTCCAACATGTGCTTTGCCAGGGTTGCAAGGCTCATCCTTGACAATGCTGCGTGGAATCGTCGCGAATGTCTGCCCTCTGCGACCTCTGAGCCGGAATGGCGCAGCTCCCCGAGCACCAAGTGGATCAGTGGCTCGGCCTGATGGAGGAGACCCGTCTCGTCCGCCCTGCTCCGGAAGTGGGGAAGAAACCTCTGCAGCGTCTACCGAGCCATGTTCAGTGAAGTTTTCAGACCGAGCCATTTTCAGGGACATTCAAGGTGTCGAGCTTGGTTTGTTGGTGCTAAGGCAATTTTCCTGAGCACTTCAAACTGCGAACGCAAGCCAAGAGACGTGGCGAGCATTTCCCCAGGGCTCATCTTCTGCAGGAGACGCCGCTGCTTTTGATCGAGCTTTGCATCCAGTGTACAATGAGTCAGGTGGCAGAAGTTGCACGTACGCCCAGCATGGCAGGCCCCCCCCTTCAGAAGGTAGATGCAAGGACGACGGCAGAGCTCAGGGTGCCCCAAGCTTCCCGGATTGGCCTCCAAGGAGACAGCTCCAGGATCCGATGAGGGAACGTTTGGCTGTGGCACAGGTGGTGGGAACCTCCGAAGGCATGCTCTGAGAGACACCAGCGCGGCCTCCGTCGCGGTCTGCCCGAACTCACCGACCACGGCCATGGACAAGGGCACTGCTCTGAACACAAAGCTCGCACTGAGAGCCGGGACGACTTTCGTCAGGGCAGGAGGGTGCGAAGAAGGAGACCGCGCCGTGCTGCGACTCTTGCGACAAAGTTTGCATGCCCCTGCTTGCACGCCGTGTAAACCTTTCTCCCTAGTGGCCCTGTAGTGCCTTTGAGTATGCCCCGCGCCACATAAGTTTACAGAACCGTCCTGTGCAGGACGACGCGTACATGCACCACCAGACTCAAAACGGTCTTCTATCGCCGTTGCTTCCGAGCAGCAGATTGATGTCTTGTTCATCGAATTCAACATCATCACCTGCATCCCACTCCACCTCGCCCTCATCACCATCGCCACCAGCGCCGCTTCTTTCAGCCATCTCCGGTTCCAACGAAGGGTATTCCTGCTTGTCTTGATCGCGCGCTATTTTGGCATCACAACCATCACTATCATCCTCACCATCATCGTCGTCATCATCATCTTCATCACCATCATCTTCATCATCAACATCATTATCCTTATCATTATCATCGTCATCGTCGTCACCGTCATGTCAGACCTACTTTGGCTAGTGCCACCATTCGTGTTGCGCTTTCGTGCTCTGCCCGTGCCTATGCTTGTGTGTTGTCATGTGCTGCGGTTGCTGCAATCCTGTACTATTCTGATGCTTATTTTGCGTTGCGCTTCCTGATCTTACAGAGGACACAGCGACACAGCCGTTCTGGTCACATGATGAGTTGATTGATTGATCGACTGACAGTGGGTTCCTGTCAAAACCGGGGCTAAGACAGCGATTGCTTGCACTTGTCCAGGTCCTTGGCCTCAGCTGAAGTCATTGGTGCCTGACCGAAACATGCTCCAGGGTCTTTCCCCTTCCGCCGAGAAACCTCGAAGTAGCCAAGGCGCTCCCACAAGAGAATCCTCAGCACTCGCTCAAACACTTCCAGAACACTGTCGACGAGACGTAGACTGAGGTGTTGCCGTTTCCTGTTTGAGTGAGTAGCAATGCTGCTCGGAATCAACACGAAACCTCACCCATTCGACTGG